TCGTCCACCGAACCATCCGTACGATCTTCTTATCAACTCTCAGGAAGGATTATCCTTCTTATAGACTCTCAAGAAAGACTATTCTTCTAGCCATGAAAAATAACTTTTCTGTTCAACAAGATTACTAACTAAAGTAGCTTAGGCTACTCAACAAATATAAAGCTTGTAGCTTCAGATCGAACATTTAAGGGACTTTATCAGGGGAGCAGCAGACAGAGACAATCAAGCGTATAATGGGTTTAATAAATGAAAACCAACGACTACATTTAAACAAAGAATACATATAACAGAATAATGACAGCAAGAGAGAGAGAGAGAGAGAGAGAGAGAGAGAGAGAGAGAGAGAGAGAGAGAGAGAGAGAGAGAGAGAGAGAGAGAGAGAGAGAGAGAGAGAGCAGATCTCAGGAAATGGCAAATATCACAAACAGTTAACCTTTGAGAGCCAGCAAAGAATCAAATCACCTTAAACCAGGGGCAAACAATCTTAACGCATTTAAATCTCGATAGAAATAATACATGCATGGTTCTTTGTAGCTGAGCAAGAATGCGTGGGCGTGTTATGACCCTCGCTGTGTCCGTGAGTTTGAAGCGTTCTTTCGGTTCTTCCGGAGCACGCACGTTCGCGGGAAGTTCAAACGGTTTACTTGAAAGCAAAGTTGCCGGAAGAATGAGGAATAGTCCGTCAGAATCATAAACACGGGACGTGATGGTAAACTGTCCATTGTGCCAATGGATGGTATGCACATGAGGTTTCCCTTGATGTTGAGAGTGGCGTGGGAGCTGTACCTCAGTCATGGGAAAGATGTAAATTTCGGGACACATCATCAGTAATGTACCTTTGAATCAGGGGGTGTTTCGGCCTTTCAACACTAAACACCCTCATCAAAGGTGGCCAGCTACAGGGTGATCAAACCTGAGCTTGTGTCCCCATGCCCAATCATGACAATTGCCTGGTTAATTACATGGCGCTGCCCACGGGACTATGCAAGGCAGGAGGCATCCTCTTCCCTGAGTCAAGCCAAGAGCTGACCGCATACCTTATTCACCCTCCTCATGGAGAGTTGTGACCTGGGTTCTCAAGTGGGTTATAGGGTGGGGGGATTAATGAGTGGGTCATGTTGATGCTCTTTGAGCCCAACAAGGGTCCTTCATCTTCATCTATATCCACTGGCTGCTTAAAAAAAAATGGAATATTTACTTTATGAGGGTTGCTAGCATTTTCTTTTGTATATAAACTTTTCTCTTTTTTCATTGAGTTTGTAGTTTGTTTACCTTTCTCTTGTTTTTATGTTTTTTAAGCATTTACTTACCCCTGAAGTTGTTCTTCTGTTTTGTAAAATAAAAACAGAAATACTTGTTCTCTAATGTTTATTATTACTCTTCTTCACTCATTATCTTTTAACTTGAACTTTCAAACTCAGTAGCACTCTTCTACAGTTCTGCATGTTCCCTCTCTTCCTCTGTAGTCATAAGATGTTTCCATCCACCTATTTTTATGCAAAATGTTTGATATTGCATAAAAAAACATCTGGATGCAAATTACAAGATGCGCATCAATTCTAAACATTAGGTATTTGCATGGTTTAATAAAATGTAATTTAGGCTAACAATAGGCTTGCACATGTATCTGCCTCTCACTTAACTGTTAGTGGGTAACAGTGATAAGACCCAGAACCAGATATGATGAAAGAAGACCAGGAGTCGTGAGGTTCAATCAAATAGATAAAAATTTACTGAAGAATAGTTTGCAGTTTCATTGGTATAGAGCGAGCGTCAAAGTCTCACGAGGAGGTCGCAAGCCAACTACCTTACACAAAATCACACACCAATTATACCATTTTGCAAGGGCATGCATTACATCATTGTCACTCCTGATTGGCTAAGAGAACATAAAAGCCTAAACAATTTCACACATATGGGCAGATATGGGTGCCTATCGCAATTAGTCAAGATAGTTGTCTTCCGATCCTTGATTTAGGTCTGCGGTGACCTCGTAGGTTAGAGAAGAGCGCCGTGATGAGTGTGTGATGTTTATCCAAACGTCCAGAACCTACATAGAATGTCAAACGCACACACACACACACACACAGAGCACCACTAAATAACAGCTCACATCAAGGCTGAAGAGAGCCTGAGCTCATTATTATCAGTCCAGTCAACCAAAACATAATAAAACATTCACTCCTCGGGAAGAAAGGCAGATAATATGCAACTTACTCCCAAGAGAAATATGCTGGAGAGAATTTATGACAACAGATAAAATTAGGTACAGCTTGACCATCCGACTGTCCAACGAAAAACCATATGTGTCCACCCCACCTTTGGGATTCCTCCATGACGCTTTCTACTGATCTCAGAGAAAGAGACAAACGGCCTTGTGGCCTACGTGTCCTACATGCGAGGGCACAAGGACGAAATTGGAATGCACCTAAAAGAAGCTTGGTTACTTACATCAACATGCATTATAATTTCACAAAAAATATAGAAATGATTATGTGATAATGCATTATATTTGATTATTGATTATTATGAGAGTAATATATAAGCACTCAAAAGGATATATGAATCTAGATATATATTGAAGAGACAAGGGATTTTGACCAACCCTTCATGTCAGACTCCTCTGTAATTTTCTGAAAACTTCAACAGTTTGCTCATTTAGTTCTTTTTCAGTTTGACATAACCAAAACGCTGACTTTAAACTCTGCCTGTAAGTTTAATTTGTTAATTTCTAGCTAGGTTTTGGCTCAACAATCGGTCTAGGTCTAGTATGAGCCAACTAAAATACATATAGCTCATCATTGTTGGTACTTACATCCATAACAATCAGTTAAGTCTAATTAAAAAAATATAAACAACTGGAAAGCAAATGTTACTAATACGTTGACAGTATTGTGTAAAAGGCCTACTTAATTCTACATCTTAAGACCTTTTGTTTGCGGTTTAAATCATTCATGAATAACAGAAACATGTTTTATTCACTTACTGCCATTAACGTCACAACACATATAAGTCCTCGTAAAGCTTTAACATTAGTTGAACCGGCTCATTGGTTCTTTCTAAGCCGGACATGAGCAGTCTTTAAACTCTGCCTATAGGTTTGTTATGTTCATTTAGATTTGTTGGTTCTATAACTGGTTTGGATGATTAAAGATGATTAGATAATTGACTCAGTGCCGACTTCAGTCATAGTTATCCATCCAGAAAAAAAGAAATTTGCGCCAAAATTAAAAAAATCTTTGGGAGATAGCCTATCACTGAACATTTATTTTACCATTGCAAAAATGTATTATGTTCATTTTTCATCCATTTTTGTTGTGTTTATTTAAAATGAGAAAACTCGGATATTATTGTAATCTTATATCTGTTATTTAACAGTTAAGATAGTTCCTTAATGCTGATCTAACCAGCAGAAGACACTAGCCAGGTTTAAATCCCAGTTGCGCAGAATTTACAAAATAAATCGCCAACTCAAGCACCAAAATATAACACCAAAAACGCACAACATATAATGGGGGTATACGGTCAAAGACCCAGAACCAGATATGAAGAATGAAGACCCGGAGTCAGAATTATAAAAAATGAAAGAAAAGTTTTACTGAAGACAGTTTGCAGTTTCATCAGCAGAAGTCAGCTTCAAGACTCTCACAGGAGTTCGTAGGCCGCCCCCCTTACAGTTACAAAGATCACAGCAGTTATATCATTTCCAAGGTCTTAGCTACGTCATTGCTTACAGGTTGAATGATTCTCATTGGCTAAGAAATAGATAAACAGTAAACACAGTAATTTTCCTCACATATACAGATAGACGGAAGCATATCTCCATCGATTGTGCAGCTGACACTCGGACCCTGAAGTTAGGCACGTCGTGGTCGCAGTTTTGGGTTTCTGGGCGCCAGCATGTCTCGAACAACAATTCACTCAATCTCCAATAATGCCAGTGGTTCCTTAACCTGTAACCAAGAAGTCTAACACACACCCCAACACACAGCTTTTCCAAGGTTGGATTTGGCCAGGCTCTAACTATAAACAGGAGAGTCCTCTCAAAACATCAAGATAATACGTTCTTTCTCTCAACTTTAGTCTAACTGGAAAGTAAGGCTTTAACAAAGAAATGGTCCCTTAAACTATTGGCTTCAATGACCCCTATATGTTTTAACACACTGAAGACCTTTCTCAAACACAAAACAAGTCCCTATTTCATCTCTGGAAGCCAGGCTAAATGAACAAGCACTGTTACTGCATTCAGATATCAAATACAGACATTAAAGAATACATGAAAAGAACATTTCAGTAATCACACTGGGAACTTCTATAACAAAGTAAAATCTCACAAGTCTAGAGAAGTCATTCAACTCATTTAATATTTAGAAGGAAAAATATTGATTAATACCTTGATTATAATTACTCATCATTGCATATACATTGAAGCAGCAGTGGATTTCAATCCACCCCCTTCAGCCCTGAATTAGCATAAAACCAGATTACCTCATTATCAAATTGAAAATAGCTTCCTCACAAAACACTTTATTTAAACACAAACCGCTGTCAAACACAACTTTCCGATGCTCTTTGAAATTCAATGACAAAACATAATCCTCAAAACACGAATCGTTAGCATCAAGGGTACAAAAAAAAGAAAGGCTCAACAGCAGAGTGTGGCGAGTCGTGCTTCCCCTCGTGAAGATCGGGGCCCGGCTCGTCGCTCTTAGCAGCCTCACAATAGACCTAAAGAAAAAGTCTTGAGGGTTTTCTGAAATTTGTTCTGATTCTTCGTTAGCTCTCAAAAGTATATCTGCATTATTTTATAGATTGAAAACAGAGGGTATAACTGTACTTTTGTTGGATACAGACACATGTTGGGATAACAGGGAATGAAGCTGGTTTGTAGTTAGAAATAACAAAAAGAAGCATTAAGTTTGGTGGATATTAAAGTACTCTGATCCTCTGCGGTGGATGTGAATGTATTCTACATTCCCATAAAAATACAATGCATATACATCACCCAGGCAAGAGAAAGATATGCAGTAGGTGCCGGTTGTAAAACGAATAGGAGACGTGAATGTTTTTAGCTTTTTTAACAGTTTTAGCTTAAGAAACAACATTTATTGGACAGTTCATATCTGATTTATATGGAATAATATTGCTCAACATGTTATTGAGTCACGTTTGATGAGAACGCAGCATTGCATTTGAAAGAGCTGGATCTGAAGATGAATTCAAACATTATATCATGATTTCAGACATTTGTTTTTTGTATGATAGAGTAGAGAAGCTGAATGAGTGAAACTCTTCCCACATGGAAAGCAGTGATACGGTTTCTCTCCAGTGTGGATCCTCTCATGTTTTTTCAGGTTTCCTAAATTAATGAAAGTCTTGTCACAGTGTGAACACTTGTGAGGTTTCTCTCCAGTGTGGATCCTCTCATGTGATTTCCGGCTTCCTAACTGACTGAATCTCTTGTCACAGTGTGAACACTTGAAAGGTTTTTCTCCAGTGTGAATTCTCTGGTGCAGTTTCAGTTCAGCAGATGTAATAAAAGTCTTTCCACAGTCAAAGCACATATAATTCTTCACACCACTGTGTATTTTCTGGTGGGTTTTTAAATTACTCAGCTGACTAAAACTCTTCCCACACAAAGAACACATGTGAGGCTTCTCCTTTGTATGAACTTTCAAATGGTCCTTCAGGTATTCTGCCCTAACAAAGTCTTTACCACACTGATCACAGTTATATGGTCTTTCTCCTGAATGAGAACGTAGATGTAATTTAAAAGTTTCTACATATGTGAAACTCTTCCCACACTGATCACACGTGTGCGGCTTCTCTCCAGTGTGGATTTTCATGTGTTTGTTAAGGTTTCCTTTATGTCTGAAACTCTTCCCGCACTGATCACATGCGTACGGCTTCTCTCCAGTATGGATCCTCATGTGTTGCTTAAAGTGTCCTATTTGTGTGAAACTCTTCCAGCACTGATCACATGTGTACGGCTTCTCTCCGGTGTGGATTTTCATGTGAAGGTTAAGACTTTGTTTTAGTGTGAAACTCTTCCCACACTGATCACATGTGTACGGCTTCTCTCCGGTGTGGATTTTCATGTGAAGGTTAAGACTTTGTTTGTATGAGAAACTCTTCCCACACTGGTCACATGTGTACGGCTTCTCTCCAGTGTGGATCCTCATGTGTTGCTTAAAGTGTACTTTTTGTGTGAAACTCTTCCCACACTGATCACATGTGTGCGGCTTCTCTCCAGTGTGGATCCTCATGTGATTATTAAGGGTTGCTTTTCCTGTGAAACTCTTCCCACACTGATCACATGTGTGCAGTTTCTCTCCGGTGTGGATTTTCATGTGAAGTTTAAGACCTCGTTTGTATGAGAAACTCTTTCCACACTGAGAGCAGGTGAAAGATTTGTTTGATCTTCTTTTCTGTGAGTGACTCAAAGATTTATTTCCTTTTTCGACATTAGGATGTTTCTCCTCCGCTTCACTCACTTCTTCGCTCTCCTCATTCTCCGACTGCAAGTCTAAAATTAAAGTAAAAAAAGATACAAGTTAAGTTTTCTGTAAATAATTTTTTTTTAAATCAAAGAGAGAAATATGAAGGGAAGTGACATGAACCCTGGGAAAATGAACACTGATGTAACAGTAGAAAGTAGACAGACGCTATACAAAAGTTGTAACTGCGCACAGATAACAGCGCAAGTCCAGATTTTCATCTCTTCTGCCACGTTTAAAAGGGGTCATGAACTGGATTGTTTTATTATTTTATAATGTTGCCTGGGGTGCCCTTATAATGTTAGTATGTTTTTTACCACAAAAATTGTCATAATTTAGAAAATAAAATGATTTTAGCCTCTGATTTGAACGCTCTGTTTGAAGGGGCGTAGAAGACAGTCACTGCATAAGGTTCCTTCGGATTCCAATATTAGGAATGCGTGGTTGAACTTTATTAAATCAGTAAATCAGTCACAATATCCGAGTCCGACACAGGCTTTGGAAACAGACTTTTACGACACGGATCTGCCAGCAACGCCACAAACATGTAAGTAACCATCTTTATTCTAATGCCTGATCTGTGATCAGTGATTTCTGAAGTGTAATTATTCAAGTTCACAATAAGAAATTATGGATTTGATCAACTGGTCTCTCAACGCAATTGACACCATCTTCTCGACGAGAAGCTTGGGTTCGGGGGAACCTGACTGCCCTGCCGGAACGTTCGCAGCTGGATACACGATGGACGTGTGGGAGAGGTGGCGGGTCGTGTGTCTGGCGGCTCTTTCCGTGGAGGACATTGAAGATATCTACGTATTCGGAACCATGATAACAGGTTTTCTGCTCATTGGATTAGGCATTGCCCTGGTTTATCAAGGAATTAAGAAGTCGGCGACAGCTGTCCAAAGCTCCACAAGGCTGCCCGTCATGATTGAAGCAGTGGGCAGAGCTGTCAGCACTCAGACTTTGACTATGAACCACTATATGGATAACATCATGGAGAAGCTCACAGCTTTGCAAAGGCAAATGCATCGTTTCGGAGACCAAAATGGACCAGGAGCTGTGTAAATCGGAATGCGGCTACTCGTCCCAAGACCAAACAATCCCAATCTTATCTGCTTTCGGCCCCCCTCATCCAGCACTGGCCTTGGCCAAGGCCGCTGTTGGAACAACAACTCCCCCGGAAGAGCACTGTACAGCGAGACGCTCTTGCATTCCTTCCCCCACTCCCCACAGACACCTGCTGATTGTTGACTCTGTCTGGGACCTGATCAGGGTTGTCTCCATGGCAACTTGCTGTGTATCGCTATGACAATCCTGCGGACTTGAGGCACCTAGATTATGATGCCAGGGGCAGCGACTCTCCAGGCCTACACATACACGAACTCTTACATATATACACATATGCAATCACCCCACCCCCCATGCCTCGCCTTCAACGCTTTATACCACCAGTCTGACAGGCGGGTCTGTGACCAGCGCCGAGAATGGCTGCAGGACCGGGTGGCTGCCTGCCTGTGCTGGGTTACCTCCATCCCCCACTCCCCTACCCTGTTGCAAGTCTTGTGTGTTCATGTTGTAGAGTGTACCGATTATGTGCTAATGTTGCTGAGGTATTTTTTTACTGTTCTCAAACTGTACTCCTCACAGGAGCATAGTCTGGGGGTTAAAAGGGTTGCCTTTTTTTTTTTCTCCTCACCTCTCCTCATGTTATGCTGTATTTTCTTCCTCAATGCCCTGTCTTCCTGTCCTGTCTACCCCCTTGTCATATTGTATGCATGTCTGTATGGACAGGTTGATGGCTAATTTCACTGGTACTTGTGACTAAGTGACAATAAAGGCTACTACTACTACTACTAAGTTCAGATAGATTATCTTTCTCTCAATATCGTTCAATACTGTTTATAAATCAGTGACTAAACGATCAACTTCCACATCGTTTCTCTCAGTGGGATGAAAGTAATCGTATTTAAATTGTGTTTAAATTATATACAGAAAGCGATTAAAGAACATCCCCTTTCCAAATCCCCCAATCTGTCAATCGTACAGGGCGAGTTCATCTGTACACATGCCAAAACTCGTTATGAAATCAACGACGCTGTTACACTGCACAACGAAGCTCTTACTGTATTTTACACCGTGTTTGCATTGTTATTTGTTGAAGGCATTCGTAAGAGTGCAAAAATTGCAATAGATCTTTATTCACGCGATTAACAGACTGTCTGTCATCTGCTCAATGCTCATCACTGCAACCTTTCATGTGATGGAATAGATTTAAATATAATGCTTTAAACAATACTTTTCACGATTTGTTATTCTCAATAGCTGCAATATTAAAAATGCAGTAAAAGTTTTTGAGAGAGTTCCACATGTAATGCTGGCTATTTCATATGCAAAGACATCAGCCAATCACAGCAGTGGGTGTTAACACTGAAGTCTCACACAGACACGTTCCACAGCCAGGCACTGCACAATATTTTGTTAAAGGCATGTTTATTGCTTGATATCTCGATCCGGTTTAGCAATTATCACCTCGTGTTATTCAGCTATACACTGATTTCACGCAGCCGCAATTTTGAAATCGCTCCGGTGGGAAGAAAACCGGAAGTGTCGCCTTTAATCATAGGAGAGTCGCGAATGCTATGGCATATTGTTGTGTTTAATGTAGAAATTAGTTATTCTAAAAATGTACATACATTTCTTTCATACTTTAGACTATATACAGTGAAATTCATTTATAAATAAAATTATTTTTTCATATATGATTCAGAACGTAAAAAAAGGAAGCAGGAACAAACTATATACATATCCTATATTGGATATTAACATCCAATAGTGTAAATCGCGGCAGCAGCTTCAGGTTGGTAGTCCAAGGCATTGTTGTCTATCTGTACTTCCGGGGTTCTTCCCACCGGAGCCTCGCTTTCAATTTCAAAATGGCGGCTGCGTGAAATCAGCGTATTGCATGTAATGCGCGAATCGGTGGGAGGGGCTAAACAGGCAGTGTTGAAGTAGGCGTTCATCTTCTTCTGCGGAGGCGGTGTTTGATCAAATAAAAGCTTTTATTGGACTAACAAGGAAGTTTTCAGTTCTGAAACTTACAGGATATTCTTATAGTATGATGACCTCTTATATTTCTAAAGCTCAGGGAAAATTTGATTCCTCAGTTCATCACCCCTTTAAAATGTGTAAATGATAAACGTCCAAATGATAAACTTTCACTCTAAGATGGTAAAACTTTAGCCTGGATGCCAGCCCGAACCCCGGCCACAACATTTTTTGGTCGGGAAGTTCGGTCTGGACTCGATCCATTGAGGAGTAATTATGATTGGTTCAGAATTAGTCGGGCCAATCAAATTGCCAGGGCGGGCTTTATACGATGATGGACAGATGATCTGCAGTTACGTAATCATCACGTTATCAAAGAGCGCTTGGGTTGAACTGGTTTCCCTCAAAGTTGACTGCAGCTGGAGAATCGAGATGTATAGATTCCGCTATCGCGTCTGTTGTAAAAGAAATCGACAGCGCATTCATTTTAAAAGACGAACAGAGAACTGCAATCAAGTCATTTGTCGATCGGAAAGATGTGTTTGCCGTCCTTCCTACGGGATTCGGCAAAAGTTTATTTTATCAGCTGGCTCCGATGGTCACTAAGAAGATGGGACACAATGAAAACCCTGTGGTCATTGTGGTTTCTCCTTTGGTCGCACTCATGGAGGACCAAGTAAAAGAAGCAACACTCATTATTTTACTACTACTTCCAGCGTGCGTGTAGTTGAGTTCTGTTGACAATTTGCGTAGCTCACAAAAAAAAAACACTTACTGCTTTGCTCTGATTGGTTGTAGCTCTATCCAATTGAGTGCAGAGTTTTTTTTTTCATGGTTCGGTTAAGACACGCCTCATAATCAAAGCCCTATGGAGCAGTATCAGACTCACATTCTGACTAGAATATGAGTATGACGAAGTCAGGCTAGAAAAATTTAGCAGTTAATCCACGAATCACATGCGTGCCGAACCGTGGGGCCTGTTCCATATGGATTACGGATCAACCATACAATCTGTTGCACCCCTAATAATTAATGAACACACTTATCATCATGATTGCTTACCAAATCTTACCAAAGATGGAGAAATATCCTACTCCAGTAAGTAAACGTGTCCCTGTCCCCAAAAATGTTGGTAGGCTACTCAAAAGCGCTTCCCTCCACGTTTTATGGTGCGCATAGTTTATTTTTACCACCCATGTGCACCAATTATGTATGTGCACCCCTCACTATATATATATATATATATATATATATATATGGTGAGGGGTGCACATACATAATTGGTGCATGTGCACCCCTCACTATATATATATATATATATATATATATATATATATATATGGTGAGGGGTGCACATACATAATTGGTGCACATGTGTGGTAAAAATAAACTATATATATATGAGTATTTCGTTCATTTGCGCTAAATTTGCATTTCTGTTACCTATTCAGGAGGGATTTTCTTTTTAATTGTTTCATTTTGACATTTTATGTTTATTTTTAGAAATTAATAAAATCATGAAGTCATGTGACTGTGAAGAAATTTTTTCAATATTTACAACAAAAGTTTAGTAACATAGTTGCGAAAATTATGAACCAGATATAAAATGTAAAATAAAACCACTTGGCTAGCATTTAGAGTTTAGAGTTATAGAGTTATATAGGTATTTAGAGTCACTGGTGTTGACAACTAGAGATGCACTGAAAGCATATTTTCATAACCCATCCGATATTCCAAATTCTT